TTCGGTTTTCGGCCAAATGCATCCTAAATTTTCGGTTTCGGTTTCGGCCCAGAATTTTCATTTCGGTGCATCACTATAAATTACCATAAAGAAATATGCTAAATCCTGTGTAATACCTAACAGTGAGGCAATTTGTGCTTGAAAGGTCATGCTTTTCTAATTTGAACAATAAGAAACCTGTACATGATAAACATTTATATACATAGAATATACTTAGCTCTTTCACAATGTGAAGTACCAAAAAGGTGCCATGCAAATACACGGATTAAAAGGAACACCGTCACTTTTATATGCACGTAGAGAAATGAATTCACAACATAGTTGTGAACAGAGATCATAGTTGAACAGACAACCTATGTTGTGAATAGGTACTAATAAGTAATACTGCAACTTAACTATGTCTCGTAACAGACAAGAGGTGAAATTAGTACCTATTCACAACATTGTGAAAACGGTCCCAAGGACAGTGTCCACTGGTAAATATTCCACCACCTCAACAGTCATCAAATATGGCTGTTCACGGTATTACCGTGTTTCATGTCGTTTAGTTGCTGGGATGAGTGTTTTGTTATAGGTTGTAGGTTCAAGCATTGGGGCCATTTCTAAAGTCATTAAATATGGTTATGTGTGTGTCATGTGAGTAGTCGTCACTGTGACTTGACTGGGATGGGGCAGAGCCTAGGGTATTAAAGATGACCCAGGTTCTACTGTGAAGTAGTTGGTTTTGAGCTGCATAGAAGGCTGTACCTGTCTTGCTGATGACTGGTTTGGAAATGGTTTGTTTTTTTGGAAGAATGTTTTAACCTTTTTGTAAATACAGTGGGGCAAATAAGCATATGATACACCGCCGATTTTTCCCACTTACAAAGAATGGACAGATCTGTAATTTTCATTGTAGGTACACCTCAACTGTGAGAGACAGAATCTACAAAAAAATTTCCAGAAAATCACATTGTTAGATTTTTGAATAATTTATTTCTATTTTATTGCATGAAATAAGTATTTGATACAATAGAAAAATAGAACTTAATATTTGGTACAGAAACCTTTGTTTACAATTACAGAGGTCAAACGTTTCCTGTAGTTCTTGACCAGGTTTGCACACACTGCAGCAGGGATTTTGGCCCACTTCTCCATACAGGTCTTCTCCAGATTTTTCAAGTTTTGGGGCTGTTGCTGGACAACACAGAGTTTCAGCTCCCTCCATACATTTTCTATTGGGTTCAGGTCTGGAGACTGGCTAGGCCACTCCAGAACCTTGATATGCTTCTTACAGAGCCACTCCTTGGTTATCCTGGCTGTGTGCTTCGCATCCTCTCCTCAATACGGTGCAGTCGTCCTGTCCCCTTTGCAGAAAAGCACCCCCAAAGCATGATGTTTCCACCCCCATGCTTCACGGTTGGGATGGTGTTCTTGGGATTGTACTCATCCTTCTTCTTCCTCCAAACATGGCGAGTGGAGTTTATACCAAAAAGTTCTATTTTGGTCTCATCTGACCACATGACCTTCTCCCATGCCTCCTCTGGATCATCCAGATGGTCTTTGGCAAACTTCAGACGGGCCTGGACATGTGCTGGCTTGAGCAGAGGAACTTTGTGTGCGCTGCAGAATTTTAAGCCATGACGGTGTAGTGTGTTACTAATGGTAACCGTTGAGACTGCGGTCCCAGCTCTCTTCAGGTCATTGACCAGGTCCTCCCGTGTAGTTCTAGGCCGGTCCCTCACCTTTCGCAGGATCATTGATACTCCTTGAGGCGAGATCTTGCATGGAGCCCCAGTCCGAGGGAGATTGACAGACATCTTGAATTTCTTCCATTTTCTAATAATTGCGCCAACAGTTGTTGCCTTCTCACCAAGCTGTTTGCCTGTTGTCCTGTAGCCCATCCCTGCCTTGTGCAGGTCTACAATTTTGTCCCTAGTGTCCTTAGACAGCTCTTTGGTCTTGCACATAGTGGAGAAGTTAAAGTCTGATAGTGTGTGGACAGGTGTCTTTTATACAGGTAACGAGTTCAAACAGGTGCAATTAATACAGGCAATGAGTGGAGGATAGGAGGGCTTCTTAAAGACAAGCTAACAGGTCTGTGAGAGCCAGACTTCTTGCTGGTTGGTAGGTGATCAAATACTTATTTCATGCAATAAAATGGAAATAAATTATTTAAAAATCTAACAGTGTGATTTTCTGGATTTTTTTTTTGTAGATTCTCTCTCTCACAGTTGAGGTGTACCTACGATGAAAACTACAGAACTGTCAATTCTCTGTAAGTGGAAAAACTTGGAAAATTGGCGGTGTATCAAATACATTGCCCCACTGTATCTGCATTTTTCTATTTTTCACTTTGGGGATGGGCACAATAAATTATTGGTTTGCACTGCATTTGTGATTACGACATCTTTTTGTCTGGTCTTCAAGAAGAACCACGTCACAGTTTAGGTTTCCATTTGCCAGAAAAATGCCCAAGCACATCTACTACGAAAATGATCTGCAGTTTAAGCGTTGAGAGATCGCTGCATCCTGGGAGCTCATCCCTGGTTGGAGTCACTGGGCTGATTTATCCAATGTGAAGATATGAACTTTATTTTAGTTGTCAATGTGTGATATTGCATATGAATGTGACTCATATTTTAGTGTTGTTTTAAGTGTACTGCTGGCCTAATTTTTACCTCTGTCTCTTCTGTAGTCATCAGTGCGAGCCAATCGCAGTACTATAGGGGGGTACTTCCTGGCTGGCCGTTCAATGACCTGGTTTCCTGTGAGTACCTGTGGTGCTGGTGTGCATGATGGTTTGTTCTCAGTTCCATGTTAATGCGCTATATATACTCAATATACTGTAATGTTTTGTTGTCTGTGTTTATGTCCTGTTTTGTTTTGCTGCTCTCACTCTTCATTATTCTGACCAGTCAGCAGCCATTCTGTATTGTGACGTTTCAGCATCAGAGTTCTTAGGCTACGGGAACAATAGAAATAACAAAACAGAGAAGACATCATGTTCATGCACAGATGTCTGTAATAGTAACGGGGAGGCTGTGGATCAGGAGGTACAGCACTTGTCCCAGAACCAGAAGGTTGGTGGTTTGATTCCCGTTCTTCCCAGTCCACGTGTCCTTAGGCAAGACACAGAAACCCAAGTAGCTCCCGATGCTCAGAGCAGTGCCTTGCAGGAAGCACACTGCCATTGGTGTGTTTGTGTGTGAGCTGGCACCTGAGATGGCTGCCTCGTTTTTATACTATGTAACATACTTGGCCAGTAAAAGTGATTATCATTCATTTTTAGCCTTTGGAGCTCTCTTTTTGAAACATGTACCCCACGTATCTCATGAGGAAGAAACATGTCAATGCAGCAAGATAAGGCTGGTCATTTTCCCTGTGAAGGTCATTTTCATCACTCCCCATAGAGAGAGGCTAAAACCAGAAATGATTTGCCTCTACTCATGGTTAATGTCTGTCAATCAGTCCTGGATCAGCTTATTTGTCTGTGCCATAGATCTCATCATTGTTCAAACACAATTACAATCACATGAGGCAAACACACCGCTGCACTGGGTGATGTTTCCTCATTACGAAGCACAAGACCCTGACTTTTGTTAAGTGTTACCCAAAGGCTCCACATTGCCATTATCAGCTGTGCATGCATGGGATCTCTGGATCTTGAATTGATTTCAAAAGGCTCCCTGGAATGTGAGCTTTTAGTTTTTTAGGGCCTCTATTACTTCAGCTTCTGTGACACAAAATAAGCTGAATTTCTCTGTTGCCTGAAAAAGGATCATATTTACCAGATGGAATTTTAGAAGCCAGGTTGTCTCCCATTTTTGAAAAGTGGCCGTTAGGTGTCATGAAATCTGATGGTAATTTGGTAATTTAAATTTTTTTTTTAATTCAGTTCAATTCTGATTTATTTGTATGGTACCAAAGCAAAACAAAAATCATCCCTAGGCAATTTATAAAGAGAAAAACCCAACAACCCCCCTTGAGCAAGCACTTGGCAACAGTGGAGTGTAAAAACTCCCTTTAATGGAAGAAACCTCGAACAGACCCTGGCTCTTGGTGGGCGGCCTTCTGCCTCAGCCGGCTGTGGTGAGTGGATAGAGAGAACAAAACCAGAGAGTGGGGCGTATTTTGGAAAAAAGAGCTCAAAATTAGCCTTCATTGTCTTAATGTGGAGAGGTGCTGTCGAAGTCTTCTGTGACCCAGACCCATTGAACAGTGCTGACAGCAGTGCAGACATTAGCTTCTATACTCTCTTCCATTCATTTTCAAACCAGCGTCAAGTTTAAGAACCTTATTATATTATTTAATTTGTAGTTGCACTGTTTCAGTCTGCTTTTAATATTTTGCTGGGTTTCACGTTCTCTCGGTACTTAGAAGTTTTCCATCTTGTAACATGAAACTTCTAGTAGGTCTACCACTCCCTGAAAGGGACAAGCTGAAATGACAGTTTGGGGGGATAAGGATAAGGATAATCTCCTTTATTGACCAAGTATGTTACACACAAGGAATTTGTTTCCGGTACAGAACTGAGGCAGCCATTTGCAGCACCAACTCAATCGATGGCTCTAAACATCAGGGGCAACTTGGGGGTTCAGTGTCTTGCCCAAGGACACTTCGACATGTAGACTGCAGGCACCGAGATTCGAACCTTCAACCTTCTGGTTGGGAGACGACTGCACTACCCACCGCACCACTGTTGCCTCCCCAACAATTTGAGGGGTAGTGCTGGAGGTGACAGTGGGTCTAAACATTTTGTAACTCCACCCAAATATGAAAAGATAATTTCACATTATTGCTCGCCACTTCATGACAGCAGTGCACGGCCTGACCTGTGTATTATTTAGCATGGCTCATTATCTGCTTTGGTATGATGTTTTGTGTGCACGTGTGAACAAATTATTGTATGTGGATTTTGGCGATTCTCAACGACTGTACACCTCCGCTATGCAGAACAGTTAGAAAGATATTCACAGATTTGAACACAAGCAACGTCTCCCTCCAACTGTAGTAAAGTAGATAACAAGCTACAACTTGAGCTTCATCAGTGTGCTGCACAAACTGGTCTCTATGTGAAGTTTTAAGAATACTAATCACCTTTATTTGGCCAAGTATGTTACACACAAGGAACAGTGTTGCCAACTTGGCGACTAATCTGGCAACTTTCCAAATCCTCTTGACCAGTTTTTTTTTGTCAAAAGCGACTAGCGACAAATCTAGCGACTTTTTCTGGTGTCATTGGAGACTTTTTTGATATTTTGGAGACCCTGATGTGAAAGCACGTATCGCCCTGTAGTTACTGACCTCAACGAGCAACGGGTGCTGCCCCATGAGCCCTTCCTCCGTCCCAAAGCACTCACGGGTGGTCAGTCTCACTGTACCGTCGTGCGGCAGTCCCAGCTGCAGTTAGACCAGAGAGGAGATCCACTCCGCTCCCCATCCAGATTGCAAATGAATTGCGCATGCGCAAAGCCGCCGCTGATCTCGCCCTGTCTTACAGAGCGGGATGTAAATGTAAACGTTTCTTCAGTGCCACACTAAAACTAATCACTACATTTGACTCAGCCTCTCACATTGCCATTGACAGTTTTTTCTGTTATCTCTTTTTGGTCCTTTTAGATTGTTAATGTTGTAACTCTGCCAGTGTCTCTTTTGGGTCACTTTGCTGGTCCCAAGCCCAGATGAAGGAGGAGGGATGGACGTAGAGCTAGCAATTACACCCCACATAAGTCTTTTGATTAAATTTGATATTCTAACATTTAACAATACAGGGCTGATTTTCTCCTCTGCCGCAATAAAACTTGCTTTCACAGCAGCTTTGCTGTGTGATTTCACTTTGGTGAAACCCTCTGCTGTGATGTCAGATTCCTCTTCAACTCCTCTACCTTCTGTAGCTTCTGCTCTGCATTCACGTTTTTCAGCTTGTCCTGATGTTTTGTCTTGTAGTGCCATCTTAGGTTATATTTCTTAATTACAGCCACATTAGCTCCACAAAGACACACGGGTTTACCGGCAATGTCAGTAAACATATACCCGGTTTTGAAAGGCTCCATTTTCAGAATCAACCTTTCTCATAGCCATTGTTAGGGGCTAGCTTTGACTTGAAATTAGGGTTGTATACATCAACAGACGCTTTATTGATCTGACGTAATTGATGCGGGAATGATCGCAGGTAGCCTGTTGTTTGGTAAGGCAGCTGTTGCGCTATATTATGGGATTTGTAGTTTGTGTGTTATCGGCGCTTCATATCACTGGGCCACTACATTATCGTTCGGTAAGGCAGCTGTTGTGCTGCATTATGGGATTTGTAGGGATTTGTAGTTTGTGTGTTATCGGTGCTTCATATCGCCAGGTCATACAAAAAAAAAAAGATATATAAAATGATCTCGCGGGCCGGATGTGGCCCACGGGCCTTGAGTTTGACACATGTGGTCTAGATAAAGCATTAAAGTCAGTTATTTTGAGAAGTGATGGCCTATTTAAATGGCAAAATATAAAAAAACTAAACAAGCATTAACAGAAAAAAGTTCACTTGTAGTTCTAAACATATTTAGGGTGTTTTTTTACTCACTTGTCTCTTTCGTGACGTTATTCCTCTCTCCTACAGCGTCCGTTACAATTACTTGCAAATAGACAATTATGCAAAAATATGCGATGACGTCATTTAGCGACTTTTAGGACAGCCAATAGCTACTTTCCTTACTGAGGAGTTGGCAACACTGACCAGGAATTTGTTTCCGGTACAGAACTGAGGCAGCCATTTGCAGCACCAACTCAATTGATGGCTCTAACCATCAGGGGCAACTTGGGGGTTCAGTGTCTTGCCCAAGGACACTTCGACACCGAGATTCGAACCTTCAACCTTCTGGCTGGGAGACAACTGCTCTACCCACTGAACCACCGTGGCCCCCTTTTTTTTTTTTGGGGGGTTTGGCAGTGAGACGAGTGCATGGGGACTGTCTCCAGCTCCTTCTGATGAAAATTTGGCAGTAGCTTGTCATTTACCTTTCTGCTTTGTAAAAGGCGTCATGTGTTTTAACTATTTTTAGCTTGTGACATAGTTCCAAGTACTTGGATTCTTTCCGCCTTTGCTGAAATCTCTGCCGTCTTTACACTACAAGTGTAAAGTGAAACTAAGGAGAGGTCTTATGTCTTTTATGAGATCGTTCCTACATCCTCAGTCGACCCAGAAGTCGAGGAGCCATGACTGAGGAAACATGAGACCATCCTTCGCAGATGTTTTTTTTTTTTTAAACTGACACGCCCCTTTATCTGAAATTATGGTGTCTGGACACTTAAGATGAAGGATCTGAGGAAAGGATGTCTCATGTCAATAACTTATTTCCTCGAGACTGCTCTGCTCAATTTTTGGAGCATGTTTTCCTTGCATCTTACATGGGTGGGACTAAGACATAAAGAAAAGACACGTGAGGGAGATGATGGTCCTTATAAGAGACATTTAAGACCCAGTATGAGGGCGTCTGACCAGGTGGAAGGAGAGCAAACTCACAAAAGAAAAGAGCAGTGGCATCCAGTGCTTGGAGCCTTGTTGCTACTTTGTGCTGTCATGTAACTGTTGGATTAACTAGCTTTTTTTTCAAGATGGCACCACACTAGTGACGAAGGTGTTCAATTTCAAGATATCAAAACATAAGTTCATGCTGCTGATTTTAATTTCTTTTTTGGTTCATGTGCGGGTGTGGCGCCCATTGCGGAGTCTGACAGGCATTCTGGGACGAAAGCTGCACATGCAGTGTTTTTTCTTCAGTGCCAGTTGTAATGGTATGATAACCATCAGTCTTAATACCATGTTATACTACTGCAACCCTAGTCGGCACATTTTTAGCATTGCAGCATCATGACAGATTCTGTCATATAACTAGAATAAATAAGATGAACTCGCCATACACAGAATTCCAGATAATTCCAGAATACCAGAATAGTCGGAAGAAGCTTGAGTCCACTGTCACATTTGTGAAGTCTGTCTGCAATGCTTTTGAGGAACCAGGTGGTTTATAGTGTTGTAGTTGTTCCTTTTGGATTTATATCAGTCATCATCATGTGGCACAGACTAAACACAACTTAGTCAGACCAAAAAGGACTCCCAACAAGTTGTCAAACATCTCTGTGTAAAACTGGTGCAGAGAGCCATGACAGCCTGACCAAACTATGACATTAGAATATTCCATTATACAGACATCAGACAGGGAATTTGCTGTGAGGTCCTGCGCTGTCCCTATGTACCTATGGGTTGTTCCTCAGCTGTCTTCTTAAATACACTAACTTACTTAAATACACTACACTTGGGGAGGTGACAGTGGTTCAGTGGGTAGAGCAGTCATCTCCCAACCAGAAGTTGAAGGTTCGGATCTCGGTGCCTGCAGTCCACATGTCGAGGTGTCCTTGGGCAAGACACTGAACCCCCCTGTTGCTTCTGATGGTTAGAGCCATCGGTTGAGTTGGCGTCGCAGATGGCTGCCATCGGTTCTGTACCGGAAACAAATTCCTTGTATGTAACATACTTGGCCAATAAAGGTGATTAACCTTATCCTAATTCACAATAAAGCGTTATCAAACATTCTACAAATTCAGTAAATATGAACTTGTTTTTGTGTTTACAGATTGGAGCCTCTCTGATGTCCAGCAATGTTGGCAGCGGTTTGTTTATTGGTCTAGCAGGAACAGGAGCAGCTGCAGGCATCGCTGTCGGGGGATTTGAATGGAATGTATGAAAAATTATCTAGGACTTTATTTGTGATTTTGAGAAATTGGGCACCTAATCTTTTTCCTTCTCTAAAAGAGGAAGAGGTTTTTATATGAACGACATGTTCTTCCTTAAAGATGCTCTTTTCAAAAAGCTCTTGACATCTGAGCTACAGATGTCTTATCTATATACAAACTCTAACCTAGATGCTATTAGATTTTTAATAAAAGGTTTTTTTTGTCACTACAAGTGGTGAAGCAACTTTTGTCACGTGCAGCGTCTCCAATCTGAACCTCTGAAGCTTCAGAGATGTCCCAGTTGTCACACGTGTCTCCTTCTTGCACACTCGGGTTCTGTGCTAGGCAGAGTAACAGCTGTCCCATGATTCTTTTCTGGTGGTTGTCCCACTGGTGTGTGAATGTGTGAGTGTGAATGGGTGAATGCTTCGGTGTTCTTCAAGGCATAGAAAAGTGCTGTGCAAGTTTGTCCATTTGCCAACGATAAATCAGTGATTGAACTGATTTAAGTGTACTGAATGTTTAGTGTTGGAAATGCCTTTGTCCCCTGATGTCTTTCAATCATCTTTCAGAATTACTTAGAATTTTTCTTTGTTTTATTGAAAAACCTTGACCAATAAGACAGTCTAACCAGAATTTGGACTGTTCCCTTTTATTTACAGTACACAACAACAAACAGTGTTTTAAGCCCCAGGTTGATGCTGTGTGTAAAAAAAAAAGAAAAAAAAAAAAAAAAAAAAAAAAAAAAAAAAAAAAAAAAAAAAAAAAAAAAAAAAAAAAAAAAAAAAAAAAAAAAAAAAGCACATCAGTGTATGCATTTTAATTGTAAGCTTTGCAGTTTTAATGCTGACAACACTTTGATGAAGATGTTTTATTCTTGTTTTATTGAATGAGTTCTTATCTTTTCCTTTATTTGTTGGTACGGGTTGCTTTCTATCAAACTGAAAAATCGTTTACAGGGTATTGTGAAGGTATGCAGCAAAATTGCTGGCAAATCCTTAAATGACCTTTTATGACCCGTATAAGGTCAGGTCTCTGAAGGAAGCCCGATCAGCCTTGGCTGCTCCAAGCCATCCCTTGTGGAGTGAATTGATGTTGCTACCATCAGGGTGCAGATACAAACTGCAGAAGCACATCTATTGTTTGCAGAACAAACGGGTGCAGAAGATCATTTGTTCCTGCTGCTCTCAGACGTCTTAATGACACTTGAAATAATAACCTGTGTCTGTGTCTGGTATTGTTGCTATTTTTTTGTCTATTTCTATTGCTGACTGTGAATCAAATTGCCCCCCAGAGATAATAAAGATTCCTTGAACATGTATTCCCTGTACTCATCACTAGATAATTAAATTCTATCCTGTCTCTGCTCATTTTCTTTATCATTCCCCAGACTTCTTATACTTGAGAGGTGCCTCCAACTGAGCTACCAAAGCTCATCCAACATGTCCTCCTTGCCTGTTTTATTGTGTTTCTTACCACGGCTTGAGCTCTCTTGCTGATAATTGTTCTTTTAACCCATTTAAATGCTTTATTCCTTTTCTTAACTGCCTCTCTGTATTTGGAACTAATTTCTTTTATGTTCTACCAGTGCTTCTAGGAATAGAATTTTCTGTAGTAGAAAGGAAAAACCAGACACAGTATGTATCCAGGAATCATGGTTAAAACTGCATTTTGATTTTATAATATATGGATATGTAGCAGTTGGGCACAATAGAGAAAATTGGAACAGTGAGGTTTATTCTCACTAACAAGTTGTCATAGCTTTTAAATATACAAAAAAGCAAATTTCACTTCCTCCTGCAACTTCACTGCAAAAAACAAAGAAGAAACAACATAAAAACATCACAACATCAGGCATTTAGGTCACAACAATCCTCAAAGCCTGTGAAATCCTGGAGGGACTGGTGAACACTTCCAGTATGCCAACATGTTGGAAAAAATATTTACGTATCTCATTTAACATACTGGCAATAAAATAAAACCTGAAATTTTCTTGTAATGTGAGATGTGTGTTTTTGTAGGCAGCGTGGGTTCTAGTGGCTCTTGGTTGGATTTTTATCCCTGTCTACATTGCTGCTGGTGTGGTGACCATGCCAGAATACCTTGCCAAACGCTTCGGGGGCAAGAGGATACGCATATATATGTCTGTGTTGTCACTGATCCTCTACATCTTCACCAAAATATCTGTAAGACACACTTTTACATTTCTTAATTTGGTAGTCTTTTGTCTAAAACAACAATCCAAGACACAATTGAAATGTGTGTGTGTGTGTGTTTGTGTGCCTTACCCAGACAGATATCTTTTCAGGGGCATTGTTTATCCAGGTGTCACTGGGCTGGGATCTTTATCTGTCCACAGGTATACTGCTGCTGGTCACTGCTGCTTACACTGTGGCAGGTAAATACACACACTCAATATAACGATCATTTTGACAGTCCTGGCATGTAAAGGAGTCCAACTTGAATGCCTGTGGTGGTGGTGGCAGCACATGAAGCTCTAGAAAAAGAATTCTATTGTCGTTAATTTGAAATCAGTGACTTAAAGCAGTATTTTTACGTCATGTCACTTTTATGTAAACTTTGTCATTTCTTCTCTGTTTTCCTAGACTGCTGGTTCATATAACATATATAAGTTATAAAAGATTTGTCCTAATGAACAATAACAGATGTGTGTGTGTGTGTGTGTGTGTGTGTGTGTGTGTGTGTGTGTGTGTGTGTGTGTGGGTGGTTTAACAGCAGTGATCTATACCGATGCGCTCCAGACTCTGATCATGGTCGGGGGAGCCTTTGCACTAATGTTCATAGGTAGGGTGCAGGCCCCACCCCAACATACACACAGTGAATAAAGGCAGCAACATGCTGGAGACGGGCTTTGTGGAAGGAGTAACAACCAAAATGACCTGCAGTATTATGACTAATAATGATGCTGAATAAAGCATGTTTCTGAAATGTTTAGCTAAATGACAGATCATGTTTTGAGTACTGTTGAATGAAGATTTTCATGCCATTCAAATGTGTGCATGTTTGTACTTTTTCCAGCATTCTCCAGAGTTGGCTGGTATGAAGGCCTTGTGAACCATTACATGTCCGCTGTTCCCTCAGTGACAGTCACCAACACCACCTGCCACCTACCTCGTAGCGATGCCTTCCATATGTTCAGAGACCCTGTGTCGGGGGATTTACCATGGCCAGGTCTGGTGTTTGGGCTCACAGTACTGGCAACGTGGGTTTGGTGCACTGATCAGGTGACTTTTACCCACAGGATACATAATTATTTTTTCTTGCTAACTACTGTTAGTCTGTTCATTTAAATGCAGTTATTTCATATTCCCTAACAGCTTGTGAAGGAAACATTGCAAACCTGAAACTAAGTGTTCAAACCTGGCAGAAACATGCAAGCTTATTTTACCTTGTATATGGATTTTTTTTCCTGCAGATAAATGGTTAGTGAAATTCTAAAATGCATACTTACGTTGACCTTTGACCACAAATTGTACTGTTACTATATCCCCATGCAGTGTTAGAAAAACCACACAAAACCAACCAGTAAAACTAGTGTGTATAACATGAGTGTTTGTACAGGGTGTACCCCAAGTCCTACCTCCCACCACACCCCTGGCTCCTGCTCTTTTATAATAACGCACGATGCCCAGACAGAAAACAGAAAAGAGCTCCATGTCCCATCTCTACTCCTTGTAATCTGGCCTGTGATTGGCTCCATAGGACTTGAACCAGCCAGTGCACAATGCCCAGTCTCACAGGTGGGAACACATTATCTGAGAACATGGGCAGAACCCTGGACAGAGCAAGACATAGTTTTCAGTGATTTAATTTCATTTATCACAACTGGCCCTCACATAGATACCACAGAACTATGAACACAGTTAAACATGTCTGGAGATACTTAATAGGTTTGCGAATGGCAGACACCAAAAACTTTCAGGATGATAACAAAAGTACCCTCATAGTCCTGTTGTACCCAAGCTTCAGCCAAGGACATGTCCATGCCATCCCCATCGCCATGCAGCTTGGGAAACTGTATATCAGTGCAAGAACATACTGTATATACATGTGTGATTGTCTTGTGAGCCCCTTTCAGTCCCTGTGTCTAGTTGGTGTTTCATAAGATATTGTGAAACTACTCAAACTACACCTTCACCGTTCCCATGAGTGGTTCCCATCTGAAATAAAGTAGCTTCTGCTTTTTCTAAGGTTTCCTTGACCATTAATATTCCATTCTATCTGTACAAATATGAACCAAGGCTGGGGCCAATCCCAGCTGACACTGGGCGAGAGGCGGGGTCCACCCTGGACAGGTCGCCAGTCTGTCACAGGGCTGACGTGGAAAAACAACCACACACACCCACACTTACTCATACGGGCAATTTAAAGTCACCAGTCAACCTAACCTCAGGTGAGAACCTGCAGACTCCACACAGTAAGGTCTGGGGTCGCTGGGGCTTGAACCTTCTTGCTGTACAAACATAAATCTGTGATTAAATTAATACTTCTAACACATAGGTATTTGACAAGTATGATACACAGTCTAACAGTTCTGTTAATGCTGGTGAAACAAGGTAAGAAGTGAATGAATTTCCACTATGGGGTTAGGTATTTAGTTTTGATGGGTTAGTGGGCTAGGGAATGCATAGTAGGTTGAAGCTCTCACAAATTTAGAAAGACAAATATGTATTGTATATACTCTGTGTGTGTGTGTCCAGGTTATAGTCCAGCGGTCTCTGTCAGCCAAGTCTTTGTCTCATGCCAAAGGAGGCAGTGTGCTGGGAGGCTACCTTAAACTGCTGCCCATGTTCTTCATTGTCATGCCAGGCATGATCAGCAGAGCACTGTTCCCAGGTGAGGTCTGTCTGCCGCTTTCTGATTTAGTCATGTGAAAGGTTCTTTGTTGATGTACATACACCATTTAGATTGAATTATCCCATAAAAATACTTTCATTTACTAAAGCATATTTACACCTATGGGTGGGGTGGTTTTAGGGGCACTGGAGATCCAGGGCTGAATTCTCTAGAATGCAATAAACAAGAATGCAATCCAGCAAATTAATCACAAATTCTACATTTGGGAAAATCATGTTATTTTTTTGTTTGACACTGTTGGCTAGAAATACAATTATGTTTATTATTGATGATGTAGTTTTGAGTGGTGTTGTATTGGATTGCATTACATTGCAATCAGGGTTGGACCCAATTATTTGACTATTCAGATATTCACTTACACAGGACAGCTGCTCATTAGAGAGAGCGAGTGTGTGTGGGTGTGTGGTGAAAGTGGGAGCTGCTCAGCCTGTCCAGTCTGAGACGATGGGGGAGCAGCAGACGTTTCAGTATTCTTTGCTTACGTATTTTAAAATTGGTTGAACTGCAAAGTACAGTATTTTGAGCATCATCGAATCTGAAAAAAGAGTTTAATCCAGTGAGTCCACAAAAACAGTGTTACAGTACACAGCCAAAGGATGAACCATAAGACAGAACAGAAATCCAGTGAAACCGACAGATGGCACATTATGCAGCAGACACAAACAGTACTGTAGTCCTCGTCAGTTCATATGTCAACCAGCCACAATGAACACAACAGCTGTCAGTGTGGCTCCAGGGCGTGCGCCAAAGGTTTTGGCCTTTCTGTATCCTCAGTGCGCCATGCACACGTAAAACTGCTTGTTCTGATCACAGCATCATCGATGCACATGTTAAATACAAGCCAGTGTGTTGCTGACAAATATGTTGGGTGTTTTTAACAGGCTGGATTCGCTCAGACCAGGACCAGTGCATGCACTTCTGCTCTAGGAGAAAACCACCTCTGTCACCCCTCTGTGACAGAGGTTTTCCCACACAAACACCAACCTGCCATACACATAATGTATATAGCCCAGTGCCACTAGTGTGCTCAAAGTGTCAACAATATTAAAGCAGCCTATGATCTGGGTATTTTGTGGATCCATATACAAATAACACACCAAACTGTAGATGCCATGGTGAACGTTATGCTGCCTGTAACATTATGGAGCATGACCTATTTGGTGGTGGGTCAGTGATGGTCTGGGGAGGCGTATCCTTGGAGGGCTGAACAGACCTCCATGTCATAGCCAACGGTGACTCCCGTCCCTGACTGCTGTGAGTTACCGGGATGAAATCCTCAGAGCGACTGTCAGACAGTGGGCCCTGGGTTCCTCCTGGTGTAGAACAATGTGGAAGAATTTTCCCCCGGCCAGTGAGGGACCAGTTCTCTCCCTCAGTTCTCTAACCACTGTCAAAAATCCCTCACAGTCTAAACAGTCCTTTGCAAAGTGTAACATTTATTGGGAAAAAAAATCAAAAAACACCCCAACAGCATCTGTTTCCAGTCTGTGAAGCAGAAGACATTCCTTTTTTAGTCCCGATAGCTCCTCTTTGCCTGTGGCTTGCTTCATCCCATCTATCTCTCTGACTTAGGGGATATACTATTATTTCACTGGTCAATATAGGTTTCTAAAAAAAAGACCTCACATGACAAATGCAAGTCAAGTTGACACATTTCATTAAAAACCCTTTACATAACTTCACAACTAAGGGCTGATGCCAAGGCCATCATCCTTGCTCAGCCGGGGCAGCCGACCAAACAATAGACTTTTTTCCTCTCTCTTGCTTGCTTTAAGGCAACTGGGGTCATCTCAGGGTCAACCCTTTCCCCTCTGCCTGTATCACCTTTCTCATCCTTGTATGCATTAAAATAATGCAAATAAATAGCACAGAGAACAAATGAGAACCAATAAAGCAAACTTTCAACACCATGTCGGGCCTCATGTGGCCAGAGTGTGTAGGCAGTTCCTGGAAGATGAAGACACTGGCTCTCACCTTCCCCTGACCTAAATCCAAATGAGCACCTATGTGATGTTATGTATCGGTGCATCCGACACCACAGACTGTCCAGGAGCTGACTGCTGCTCTGATCCAGGTCTGGGAGGACACCATCCACTGACTCATCAGGAGCAGCCCAGATGTTGTCATACACACTTCTAAGTTACATTATGAGCTGTTGTCATAAAATTCCCAGAACGCGGAGGAGCCTGTGATTTCAGTGTTTCACTTTGATTTTCATTGATTTTGAATCCAGCCTCCGTGGGTTGATGATTGTTGGTTTCTATTGACCGTTGTTATGTCATTTTGTTCTGAATTAATTAAACAGTGCACATTAATAAAGTCAAATAATTTGGTCATACTGGAACATACATACAAGTTTTATTTATTTCCTTGCCCTTTGTCTCGTTTTTCCTCTAACATTTTACGTCTTAAATTTTCTCACCTTTTGTGTTTGTAGACGAGGTAGGTTGTGTGGATCCGGTGGTGTGTCAGAGTGTGTGTGGAGCTTCTGTCGGTTGTTCCAACATTGCTTATCCTAAACTAGTGGTAGAGCTAATGCCTGTGGGTGAGTCTTTCTCTCTCTCTCTCTCTCTCACACACACACACACACACACACACACACATACATTTCAGAGTCAGACCACTGCAGTAATCCAAGTTAGGAGACAGGAAGGAAGCATTTGTCCAAGTGTAAAAACTGATGCTAAAATCAAGCGTTTGAATGAAAAGTAAATGTTTTTCATAAATGCAAAACCCCATTTCTTAAAGCTTAGCAAAATAAAAGGAAACACTTAACATTGGTATTATTTGTGTGGTGCTGCTCCTTTGCTTTTGGAGCTTTTGTACCTTAAAATTTTGCACTCAGTTGTCTATTAATCCTTAATGCTTATAACTTGTTAAGATATTAGAAACTAAAGATGATAGAGTCCTATAAATTTATCACGTTGTTGTTTTGTTCGTATCCTTTGTAATAAGCGCCCTCTTTTCTGTTGATGTCCAATTTTCTCTGTGTACTTTATTTACATTTAATATTTTCTTCTCTATTTCCTGTTTTACCAATTTGCAGAAGGTACTAATTGAATGATCACTTGTGGAAGGAATGAATGTACTCCTTGGTTTAAAGGAGTGATTGTAATTTATTTCCTTTCTTCTGGAATTGCTCTGATTAGGTGAGGATACAGAGTGATTGTTGGATAATACAATCTGGACAACACGCCATTTAACTGAGGGCGGTGGAAACCATAAATGAAAGTTTTGATCATCACATGACTATGCCATCTTTTTGGTTCTTCTCTCCGTGTAGGCCTTCGTGGTCTGATGCTAGCAGTGATGTTAGCTGCTTTGATGTCATCTCTCACCTCCATCTTTAACAGCAGCTCCACTTTGTTTACACTGGACCTTTACCACCGAGCCCGGCCTAAAGCGTCTGAGAGGGAACTCATGATTGTTGGAAGGTGGGTTACAGATGTTAACCGGAACATATCTGAAAACCAGTATAAGACTCGAGGTCACATCAAAGATCCCACTCAAAGTCTCATGAAATTCTGAAAAAACAAAAAACTGATATGGCTGTCACTGATCCTTCCAACGTATTGGTGTTTTTCCATCACCACAGTTCAGTCCTCTTTAATTGTGTGGAGTTGGGTGGGCACAGGACTGCCTCCATTTCTATCTGTTCCTAGCAGCAGGGACCAATTGTGTCAGATAGGGTTCAGCCAGCCCTGTTTCTTCCCGGTGTTGGGTGGGGCAGAGCTCTGCAATGACATATTTCCACCAATCTGAGCCCCAGAGTGGCTATGCCCCAGCTACATATCCCACAATAAACTTTTTAACCAGTTCTCTGCGTCTTGAATTTGAGTCCCGTTTCAAACGATCCTGACAGGAAGGGCTGACCTGTGCTGATGGAAAACCACCACGTCTCTGCACTTCTGTGCCTGTTGCCTGTGTTTATGTTGGTCTGTGCAACCTGCCCCACTGAAGCTGGTTTACGTCGTTTCTCCGATGTGTTTCACCTACCAGCTTTAAATCATCCACAACATTTCTACATTGAAAGAAATGTTGGTACCACTAGTGGCTAAAAAGAAGTTGCTAGGTAGAGTTGCTGACTGAATTTATCTTAGGTACAGCAACGGGCTGGTAATGAGACTCTTCTTACTTTTCTCGATGTTGTCAGTCATCAGAGTACTGTCAAATTATTCTGTTTTTCACTCTGAAGCCAAATAATAATGATATTGTGTATGTTCAGGGTGTTCATCCTGGTCTTGGTGTGTGTTAGTCTTTTGTGGATTCCAGTCATCCAGACAGCCAACAGTGGACAGCTGTTTGACTATATCCAGTCAGTTACCAGCTTTCTAGCCCCCCCCATTACCGCTGTGTTCCTAATGGCTATCTTCTGGGAACGTACCAATGAGCAGGTAAGTCTCACACACACACACACACACACACACACACAAGCCACATGATTTATTGCTTTTTAAAACCTTTTCAAGAAAAGAAAAGGTAATGCCATTTTGAATGAATGCATGTTAAGGGCTGGGCAATGTTTTAAATCACTATTAATATGGATAATATTCCAAAAAAACTGCATATAAAATAAATTAAAAACATTATGCTGCAGACTCTGTTCCACTGTTGTGCATAGTATGAAAACAATTCTTTAAAGTGTAACAAATTAACAAAGCAAATGTTTCGTTTTTATTTGCAAATTTATTTTTTAACTACATACATTTGTAAAATGGCAAAGCAATATGCAAGACCATACTCCCATCCCTAGGCCATGTAAATACTGAAAAAATGATCTGTATTTAAGGTTCTGGGCCACAAATGCTGATCCTTAGGGTCCTTGTGAAATCGATGTGTTGGATTTTTTTGTTATATAACACTGAGTTTAATGGTTTGTGTATGTGTGTGTCTTAGGGTGCATTCTGGGGTCTGATGACTGGACTTGTGGTAGGAATGGTCCGCATGATCATGGAGTTCTCCTACGCGCCTCCTTCCTGTGGTCAGCCTGATCATCGGCCTGCTGTCCTGGCTGATGTCCACTACCTGTACTTTGCTCTCATCCTGTTGGCTCTCAGCTGCATTATCATTGTTGTTGTCAGCCTGGCTACTGCCCCAATACCTAAACAACATGTAAGGAACGTGGTATATGTTCATTTTAATGATGGTATGATCTTTAAAAAGAGAAATATAAGATGACTACTGGATGATAAGAACTCTGACTGACGTTTACAATTCTGTCATGCTTACACTATTATGCATTATTGTACATGAGCATAAATGATGGCTGCTGGTAGCTGTGCCTTCTCCAAATATACAGAGGGAGAGCAAAGCCTTGCAAGTACTTCATCTTTGTTCCCCTATTCCCAGACTGCCAAATATAAAATATTAAGTATTAGGTATTCGGCACTCCTGTCTAGGCTGTGAGAAAGGAACCCTCCTCAAAACGATAGCCAGAGGTGCAGCCCAATTCAAACACAAACAGTTGACAGTTTGCTTTAACTCAAGAATTACACAAAAAGACAAAAATACTCACACACTGTTTATTCGTGTGATTTCCTCCTTTCTTCTCCAGCTGTACAGGCTGACCTGGTGGTCCAGATATAGCCAAGAGCCTCGGATCGACCTCGCAGGTCTCCAGATAACTTCTGACTCAGTGAACTCTGACGCTCACTCTGACGCTCACTCTGACCAGGTGCCAGAGTCCTGGTGGTGCAGAGCTGCTCTTCGGGTTTGTGGTCTGACAGGTACGGGTTCTGGCTCCAAACCCCAAGTGAGTGAAAACAGTGAACTGAACTCCCTCCAGGAGGAGCCGCTCTGGAGTAGAGTCTGCAGTGTTAACGCCCTGCTGCTACTTGTTGCCAATGTTTTTCTCTGGGGCTACTTTGCTTAATGTGTAGTTTACATCAAACCCCCAACAGGTTGTTATGAGTAAGATGAGACTAGTGTGTTGAGCTGGTGTTTGATCTTAAACTGAGAATGTTTCAGGAAACAAAAGAAATAAATGAAATAACCCAATTATACACTGACTGGTATATGGTTTGTGGCTTCAGACAGGCTTTAGATCCCTTCACTAGGGGTAGATTAAACATGAAATGGATCAAACTGCCATTTTCACTAAATAGCTCACAATGATAAAGTGAAGCATTGTTTAAAATGTTTGCTGATTTATTAAAACTCAAAGACTCAGATCTCCTCGGTCCAAAAGTGTTCCGAGCCTTTGCTGCGGTTCCAGACTGTGCTCAGCTGCTTCCTGTTTACTTCGTCCTTATTGACGTGTGTCTAGACCCGGACTGGATCCACCTGTGGCAAACTGATCTGACTGGACAGAGTTTAGAAACTCTGCTCCTCACCTCC